CTGTCTCTCTGTCTCTGTCTGTCTCTGTCTCTGTCTCTGTCTCTCTCTCCCCACAAGCCATACTCTGGGCCTTGAAAGATAAACACTGCTCTTGGGGCACTCTTAGGTTACTGGAAAGCAGGATGCTGAATGGTTGTTATTGGGGAGACTTGAAGTTGGACCCCCTGCATTCAGACTAGGATCTGTAACTTGGAGGTGTGCCACTGAGTTGGGTACCTGACGTTTCTGTGTGCTTGTCTGTGAAATGGTGTTTACCTCCCAACATAGTGGAGAAGTTTATAATTAGAATGGATGTAAAAGTGTTTAGCAAACTGTCAGGCATATGGAAAAATATCAATAAATTATTGTTTCTGGTACAAGCATGATTACAGGGGACAGATAAACAGATATGACCTACAGGTTGGAGGAGCACAAGAATGTCTAACTCTGTCTGGAGCGTGATCAAGTTCTTGGGGGCATTGCCAAAATTATGAAGACCTGCTGCTTTGGTGGAATAGGAAGAGGTCTGAGAATGAATGTTAAGAAAATGTTCCCCAGGTGACGCTGACATTTAATTCCATATCATAGTTACGCTTCCATGCCAATAAGTACAGGCATTCAGAATTGCTTTTGCTGCTTCACAGATTTAATGGGCTGTATTGACTTTGTTACCATCTATGGATAGATATTTAAATTGTGTGTGTGTGCTTCTGTCATGGAAATTGACTATAATTCACTTAAAACATTTAACTATTTTTGGATACTTAAGTATTTCTTTTTTTTTTTGCTTTTGGTGTTTACTCCTCACTCAGAAAAGCACTAAGCTTTGAAAGTAACTTTTTATTACTTAAAATTACATTTTGGCTGGGCCTGGTGATACATGCCTTTGATCCCAGCATTTAGAGGCATGTAGACCTCTGAGAGATCAAGGCTGGCCTGGTCTACATAGGGAGTTCCAGGCATGCTGGGGCTACAGGGAGACCCTGTCTCAAAAAGACCAAAAAACAAAAAATTACATTTTGGGTTGGGGAGTTATACTCAGTTGACAGAGCACTAGCTACCACCCAGGATGCCCTGGATTTTATCCCCAGAACTGCACAAAATAGGGTTGGTGGTACATATCTGCAATCTCAACACTCAGAAAACCAAAACAGGAAGATCAGACGTTCTTCAGCTGTATAGCAAATTCAAGGGCAACCCGAGATATGTGAGCCTCTGTTATAACAAACAGACAAAAACAGACAAAAATTTCAGTGTCGGTGATATGGATCAGTGGGTAAAGGTGCTTGCCATCAAGCCTGAAGACCTGAATGATCTCTCCCAAGACCCACATGGCAGAAGGGAATGTATTGTTGCTTTTGGATGTTCACACACACTCACTCATATACATACAATATGAATAAATACAGCAAAAAATCATTTCATAAAAGTTGGAAGAAAAGACTCAACTGTGATGCCAACACCCCACATTAGTATTTGATGTTTCCGTCTTTATTCAGTATGCTTCACTTTCACTTGTTTTTTTTTTTTGAAAAAGGGTTTCAACAATAGCCCTGGAACTCTCCATGTAGCCAAGACTGGCCTCAAACTTGTGGCAAACCTCCTGCTTTACCTTCCCAAGTGCTGTGACTACAGGTATGAGCCAACACATCCTGGTTGTTCTTGTTTTTAATAGTTTTAATCATAGTACATGTGACTGTTCATATTTTGCATTTTTTTGTTTGCTATATACTCATAGGCATTTTTACTACAGTGTTTTCATGGTGGATTCTGAAAGTGAAAGAAATATAATAGCCTTGTTTTGAGACAGTCTCACTATGTAGCTCAGGCTGACCTTGAACTCAGGATCCTCCTGCCTCAGCCTCCCAAGTGCTGGGATTACAAGTGTGTACAACCATATGTGACACAGATAGACTTCTTTTTAAACATAGAAATAGTATAGCTTCTCTTTTAAAACATCAACCAAGGCCAGGCTTGGTGGCACATGCCTTTACTCCCAGCACTCAGGAGGCAGAGAGAGGCAGGCAGATCTCTGTGAATTGGAGGCCAGCCTGGTCTATATAGAGTTCTAGGCCATTCAAGGATACACAGTGAGACTCTGTCTCAAAAACAAACAAACAACCCCCTCCCCAACAAAACAAAACAAAAGCAAAAAAACACCAACTAGAATCAACATAAAAATGAAAGTGCAGGGGCTGGAGAGATGGCTCAGCAGTTAAGAACACTGGTTGTTCTTGTAGAAGACCCGAGTTTGAATCCCAGTACCCATATGGCAGCTGACAACTGTCTGTAACTCCAGTCCCAGGGGATCCGACAGCCTCATCTGACCTCCGCGGGCACTGCACAACATGGGTGTACTCATCTACATGCAGGCAATACACACATACACATAAAATAAAATATTTTTTTTAAATGAAAGTGGGGGCTGGGTGTGGTGGCGCACACCTTTAATCCCAGCACTTGGGAGGCAGAAGTAGGTGGATCTCTGTGAGTTCAAAGCCAGCCTGGTCTACATAGTGAGTTCCAGGACAGCTGGGGCTGCAGGGAGACCCTGTCTCAAAAAAAAAAAAAAAAAAAAAGAAAGTGCAAGTCTCATGTTCTGTCGTAATGATCATGTAACAACTCAGAGGTGGCCACTCACCAGGAGTGTTTTTATGTGCTTTTCCAAATTTATTCCACAAAAATAAGTATACACAGACTATTTCCTTTTCTAGTGCTGGGTACTGTACCCAAGATTTCAGAAATGCTAGGCAAGTGCTCTGACTCAGACTTTTTAAGTTTAAGGAAGTTATATTAGGTAACATTATAAGCTGTTTTTCCATTTAATTCTACGGCTATGTTTCCACGCCAGGAAATACAAGGTAGAATTGCTTCTGATGGTGTCACAGATTTAATGGGCTGTATCAACGTTGCTATCATAAAGTATGTGTGTGTGTGTGTGTGTGTATACTTTTCTGTCATGTGAATTGACCATAATTTACTTAAACATTTAGCTAGTTTTGGATATTTAAGTATTTTTCTCTCTCTTTTTTTTTTGTGTTTGCTATTAAAATACCAATACATTGAAAATTTCAGGCACATGACTTTTCTCATGTTTTGAATAATTTCCTGGAGTGGAAGTATCAGGTCAAAGGTTTTTTTGTGGTAATTCCGATATTTTCAGCAGTGTGCTGGTATCGGTTTGCCACTTCCCACCCAAGTGGTGAGTGAAGAGGTCATTTTTCCTAAGAGGTTGGTAGCAAAGGAGGTGCTAAGATGGATGAACAGCGATGAGACAAGGAGAGGAAGGAAGGCTGAACATGGGGCGGGGGGCAACGAGGGGGGGATGGCTGGAAATGACCATTTTTTCTTGAGCATTTTTGCAATCAGAAAAATAATTCATGCTCCTATGGAATGCAGAATTGGGGCAGGCAGAGAGCTCAGGGGCAGAGCACATGAGAGTGTGTGCCTAGGTTCCATCTGCAGCACTGCAAAAATAAACATGATTTTAAATAAATTTGAACTTCACTCATTTCCTTAGAGGCAGGGTCTTGCTATACAGCCCAGGCTGGGTTGGAACTCCAGGTCCTCCTTCCTCAGCCTCCCGAATGATGGGATTATGGTTCTGAGTTTAATATTTGGTGTCAGTTTCTACTTAAAATGTAGGTATCAACTTTCAGATTAATTTTTACACAAATATTACTGAATGACTTACTTGGTCATGATTTTTCAGAAGCAGCTTTATGCTGTACACTCAGACACCTCTGGGATGGATATATCCTCTGTAGATTATTTTTGGTATGAGAACTAGATCAATAAGAACATTGCCTACTTCCCTGGCCAGAGAGCTCACGCAGGAACTGAATAGCATTCTCCCAGAGCCAGTTCCTCCAGGCGAAAGGCCGCAGAAGGCCTTGCTTTCCCCTTTCCTAGATGGGATCACAGTGCGGCAGCCCCTTGCTACTTAGGGATTCATCACTCCTTCCCCGCTGTTGCTTAGGGGTGGCAGTGACTCCTGCAGGTGCAAGGGCAGAGACTGAGCTCCTCCTGCCCTGGCTCCTGCAGGCCCTGGAGGAATGCCAGGGAGACGCCCGATGCCCGCGTCGGTGCCAGGACAGTACCTACTGCCACGTAGTAGCCCATGGAAAAACCCTGTAGCCGCCCTCAGCTGTCTGCAGTCCCCTTGTTGAACATCCCCAGAACCTTAGTGCCTAAGTGGATTAACCGCTGCTGCAAAATCTCAAGTCCGGAAGAACGAAACCCATCGACTTGGAGTAAAACTGGCCTGGCGTTCTTCTTTACGGTTCTTCACCGCAGGTGCGGGCGGCGACCCTCAAAGTGACTACCTTCCGCACCGCTGTGGGAAGTTTGAGCTTTTCTTCAAACCCACCAGGACTCAGGGGTACCACATTAGGTCCCGGCATAACTCTCACGTGAGGTGCAAGCTTGCACCATCCGGCCTGATTCAACCGCAGCCTTTGCAAAAGCCCTTTCCGCCCCGTGACTCAGTTTCTCCAATCGCTCACGTGGGCAGCAGCGTGAGGCACCTGAGTGGAATGCGGAGGCTGCCGAGGACAGCTTCCCCGCGGTGGGGCGAGGCCGGGGAGGCAGGAGTTTGCACCTCTCAGCGCGTTCCTTCTGGACGTGCCGGCCCTGATCTGAGCTGGTGCGGCTCCGGGTAGCAGTGACTCCGCCAATGCACCCGCTGGACCGCTGAGCAGACACTGCCCGAGTCCCGCCTGGGGGGCCCGGGCCCTGGAAGGACTGCCGGGGAGCCTGCCGGTGCCCACGCCCGTGCCAGGCCGATACCCAGTGGCCACAGCCTGACGCAATCCGAGGCGCCCTTGCTGCATGCAGGCGCTGGGGAAACCTTCACTGTCGTTGCATCACTCCTGCCAGGTTTGCCATGGAGGTGGAGCCAAACCAATCAGCAAGCGCGCAGGGCCGGGAGCCGGCTGCTCCACCACCCACTTGGTGGGCGGTGCGGTTAACTGAGAAGCAACATTCAAACGGGATTGGCCGAAAGGGGATTTGCCCCGCCCCAATCACCGTGATAGCTGGCCGCGGCAGAAGGGGCTTCCCGGCCGGAGGATTTAAAGAGCAGCTCTGGAGGGACCGCTCAGCTGGAGCGTCCGACGGTGCTAGGCCAGGTGTGCGCGTCCGTCGGTCCTTCCGTGCCTGTGCCGGAGACCAGCCTCGGAGGCCGCCCGGGCCCGTCCCTGCGCCCGGCACCATGAAGCAGGAGTCCGTAGCCCCGAGCACCCCGCCTCCCTCAGCTTCCCCTGCTCCATCCGCGCAGCCCTCCCGGGAGAATGGCGACCCCCAAGCCCTGTGGATTTTCGGGTACGGTTCCCTGGTGTGGAGGCCGGACTTCGCCTACAGCGACAGCCGTGTGGGCTTCGTGCGTGGCTATAGCCGCCGGTTCTGGCAGGGAGACACCTTTCATCGGGGCAGCGACAAGATGGTGAGCATACGACTGTGCCCAGGCGAATTAAGTGGGTTGGTAGGAGAGTGGGCGCCCATGCCCTGGAGAGCAGGAGCTTTCTGGGCTAACTGAGGGCAATGTGTAAACTGGTTTGTGGTTTAAATTTGTAAGCCTGGTGGTCACTATGTGATGGTTGGAATCTGTACCTGTGGATCCCTGTGTTGGTTTCCAGTCCTGGCCATTCGTTTCTTTCTTCTGCATCTGCCCATGACTCCAAGCTAATGTCCTGGACTAGTGGGACTCTCTGAGGCCTGGGAAGGCAGGATCCAAAGATCTGATTTTTTTTTTTTTCATTTTTGGCCTAGTTCTCACTATGTAGCCCAGGCTGGCCTCAAACTCATGACAAGCCTCCTACCCCAGGCTCTGGAGTGCTGGGATTACAGGCCTGAGCCACACTAACACACAGGGGAGTGTGTGTGTATAGCCTTGGGGGTTGGACTCAGGGTCTTGTGCATGCTAAATGAGCACTCTGCCCTTAAGGTATAGCCACAGCTCTTTGGCAGTACTAACTTCTAACGTCTTTTTTCAAACTCTTGCTTCCCTCTGTAGCCTGGCCGTGTGGTGACTCTCCTTGAAGATCATGAGGTAAGTACCAGGTCAAGAAGGGGATTCTGGGGTCCAATATATGAGGGGCAAGAGGGTCAGAACTCTTTGGATTAAGTGGAAGCGTGGCCTAGCTCAGTGTTTCTTGAAGAATCACCTGAGGATCTTAAGATGCAGGTTTGAGTCCAGGTGTGGAGAGGAGCTTGGGAATACATCATGTCTAACTAGCTTACAGATAATATCTTCAAGTCCTGGATCCGGCTATGCAAAGGACTCCTGGCCCCTCTGGGGCTAGACTACCTTAACTCTTAAGAAGGGAGAAATAAAGCTAGATGTGATGTGCCTGTAATCCCAACACTTGGAAGTAGGGGCAGGATGATCAGAAGTTCAAGGTCATCCTCTGCTACATAGTAAAATCAAGGACACCTTGGGCTATGTGAGACCTTGTTTCTAAAACAACAACAACAAACAAACCAAAAAATGAATAAAAAGAAAAAGCAAGGGCAAATAAGGGTGAGGTATATGATTGCTGAATAGCCTATCAGCCAGCCACCCAACCTTCCTTTGTAGAGCAGGATTGTGGAGGGTGTCTGGGTTTGAATTCTAGGACAAAGGATGGACCAGCAAAGAGCTGCTGTGACTGACTAGAGGTGTTCTTTTCTCCTAGGGCTGCACTTGGGGTGTGGCATATGAGGTTCGTGGTGAACAGGTAAGCGAGGCCCTGAAGTACTTGAATGTTCGGGAAGCAGTGCTTGGAGGCTATGACACAAAGGAGGTCACCTTCTATCCTCAAGATACACCTGACCAACCACTCACGGCACTGGCCTATGTGGCTACCCCACAGAACCCTGGCTACCTGGGCCCTGCTCCAGAGGAGGCCATTGCCACTCAGATCCTTGCCTGCCGAGGTTTCTCTGGCCACAATCTTGAGTACTTGCTGCGTCTGGCAGACTTCATGCAGCTCTGTGGGCCTCAGGCACAAGATGATCACCTGGATGCCATCGTGGATGCGGTGGGAGCCATGCTACCCTGCTCTTACCTCACTGAGCAGGCTCTGGCACTGATCTGAGTTGCTGAGCCCCTGCAGGAAGTATGATGTCCACTGCATGTGGACATCAACAGACAGCACTTAAGACAGACTTGATGGAGCTCGGGCAACCTGAGAAGTTGGGCAACTGGGGATGCTTCTTCCTATGCCCCTGCCTGTCTGCTAAAGCCTCCATCTCTTTTCTTAATTGACACTAACTTACTACTTGAAACTTTATTTATTGCACCATGTTGGTGTGCTGGGCAGGGTGGGTGGGGGAACCTGCCCTGGACATGGGCCCTGCTGTGCGGTGGCTTCACCTCAATCTTCTGGTGTCTGACCAGATTCCCCCCATAGTGCTGCTGCTAATCCCACACCATCCAGGCTTCCACCTCCTCAGGGAGCCTCCAAGAGTCTTGATCCTCTGTCCATCCAGACAATCCATCTCCAGTCCTGGAAATATCAGCCTGCTGGATGAGGGGCAGCAGGAAATGAGGAGAGATAGCACTTCAAGGACCAAGGTCCTTTCCTACCTTTCTCTATTTATCCCCTGGGACCCTAAGGCAGAGCTGGATCTGATGCCTGGACATCGCTGCTGGGACTGGGCCTCTTTCCCCTTCCATTTTATTTCCCTATCTTTCTATCTGTCTGCTTATCTGTCTGGGTCACTCCTGTGTATCCGTTGGTCTCTTCCTGGGACTCTCATCCATACAGGCTCTGGCCTCTTCTCAGTCTGTTCCACACTGTTATTGATAAATGCATCTCTCATTACTTGTATTGAAATATGGTTTTGTCTTTGTATGGGGCTTGGGTAAGTGAAAGATAAATCTTAGAAAGCTCCCAAGAAGGAAAAGGGCTCACTCTATTCTCTGCCTTCTCCCAGGGAAAGAACAGCTAGGCAGGGAGGACCACAAGTTCCATTGTTCCCATGGGCACACTCCAGGTCTTCGCACATGTAAATAATACCCAGAGCTGAGCAGATTCAACCTATGCAGTTCTACCTGGAAGCAGGTGAGCAGCAAGCTGCCCAGACTCCTGAGGTAGGCCAGACCCTGGCTTCCTGTTAAAGGGGTACCAGGTTAAGGTGTGGTGATGACAGCTGAAATGATATGGACAGCAGGGTCCTATGACCTTTTACTCCCAGAGTCTCATGGAGCTGCAGTGTTGGCTGGTACTTCTAATGTGATCTGCCAGGACTTACCCACACTGTTTGAGCTGACAGGATGTTCTTTTCCCATGTGTGTTCACCCCCTGCATGTCCCCGAGGCTCCTTCTTATACCCTGGCTCCTCAGGCAGGTCACAGATCCCAGATATCCTGACCACTCCTAGGTATGTAGAGTGGAAGCAGGAGGAGATGATTGGCTTCAGCAGCAGGGAGTCTTGAGTCCAACCAGCCCCTCCCCTTACTGCCCAGTGCTTGGCCCTCTAAGCTGTCCTTTTAGGGGCTGCTTCCCATGAATGGTAGATGGGCCACATTGGGTGGTGTGTGTTGCTGCTATTCTTGTGGCTAGTGCCTTGATTGGTTTGGATATCTCCAGAACGGTCAGCTCCAAGCATCTGGATAGGGATTTGTGTCTGGGAGGGTGCCATGGTGGCTTGTATGCCCATGTTGGCCATTGATGGGCAAAGCATGGAGTACAGCCAGGTTCTTCTGGGAACCTGTCAGGACAACACAACAGGAGGCAGCGAGTGTCAGAGAGCTCTTGGTAGCCACCCTCTGGGCCTTCTGGGTTAGAGCAAGGTGCTTTGCCTGCTCTGGACTCAGATGCAGTAGGGTAGGGTGGAGAAGGCTGCTTGCCAGTACATATGGGCTACCATTCTTATTTTTTGGTGGTGGTGGTACTGGGCCTACACCCTTACACATACTAGGTAAGTGGTCTACCACTAATCATAGTCCCAGGCTTCTTTTTACTTTTTGTTTTGAGACATGATCTCAGTAACTTGCCCAGACTGGCCTTGTAGCTCAGGCAGACCTTGAAATTGCAATCCCCCTGCCTCAGTCTCCAGAGTGCCTGGGATGATAGACCTGTACCACAAGTGCAGCTTAAGCTCCCATTCTTAAAGTCGTGCATGCATGGTCATACATGGTTCCAGGCAGTTTGGGGATGTAGCAGTAAAGGGTCCCCCTCCTTCAGGAATCTGGAGTCTAGAACCAATGGTAACTGTTGCACATGAAATGTGGCCACCTAAGCAGGACCCCTTTCCCTGTTTGTCAGTGTGCAGTCAGGGAAGGCTTTCTGGGGCAGAGAGTTTCAAAAGGGACCTGTGGGGACAGGGATTGGGGAACACTGTGCCTGAGGGAGAAATAAGTTCAGATGGTCTAGCACAGCAGCATGGGATGGGAACTTGATGATAGACAGGTGGCAGGAAGGAGGCTGGCTAGATTAGTGAGCTGTGCCTGGTTATGCCTATGCATTCCTCCTGGGTCAGTGGAGGGCTCTGGCACATTGTGAATAGGACAGGGACATGTGTAAGAGGGAACACTGGCTGCCGTGTCAGATTGCCATTCAAAAGGCCAAAAGTGGCTGGCAGGAGGTAAGGGTGGCATGAGCAGAGGCAAGACAGCCATGTGGACAGGGTGGATCTGAAAACAGGCTAGGTGAGGGCTCACTCTCCCACTTACACTGAGAAAGCAATCCATTTTGGCAGCAGAATCCATCCTGGGAATCTTCTAATTCAATTTGCTTTTTATTTCCCCTGAGATAGTCAAACTGTGTAGCGTAAGCTGGCCCTGAACTCATAACAATCCTGTCTCAGCCTTCCAAATACTGAGATTACAGGCATGAGCTAGCACACTCAACTTTGATTAGTTTCTATGACCTGCCTGAGGAAGAGAGGAGCCAGGAACTGGGGACATGCTGCTGGGAGGTCAAGAGAAATGAGAACAGAGGAGTGTCTATGGGATGAAAAGCTGAGGGTCTGGGGTCCAGGGGGCGGGTGGTGGGGGAACAACAGTATGAGAAACCTGGGAAAGACTGCAGGGAAGCCACAGAACAGGGCCCTGGAGTCAGCAGGAATCTGACTGCAGCCAGGAGAGAGCAGATGAGAACTGAGGCTACAGAAGGCGTCGGTCACAGGACCCCTTTATAAGCAAAGATTTGCTGAGCACTGCATGAGTGAATATAGCTATTAGAAAAAGAAATTGAGGCCAGTAAGATGGCACAGCTGGTAAAAGTACTGGCTACAAAAGTCCGACTGCCTGAGTTCAGTCCCTGGAACCCTCCCTCATAAAGGTAGAAGGAGAGCGCTGACTCCACAAAGTTGTCCTCTGACCTTGTTCCACATATGTGCTGTGACATGCGTGCATAAGTGCACACACATTCATACAATAATAGTAAAGTTTAAAAAGGAAAAAGAGGGACTGGAGAGGTGGCTCAGCGGTTAAGAGCACTGACTGCTCTTGCAGAAGACCCGGGTTCGATTCCCAGCACCCATATGGCGGCTATGAACCTTCCTTAACTCCAGTTCCAGGGAAATCCGACACCCTCTTCTGACCTCCATGGCAGTGCATGACACGGGTGCATTCGCAGGCAATACACTCATATTATTTTATGAAAATAATAAAAATAATTTTAAAAAGGAAAAAGAAATTGAGGAGTTTAAAATATAATCAATTAAATTAAAAAATAAAAACAAGCCAGGTGTAGTGGCACACACCTTTAATCCCAGCACTCAGGAGGCAAAGGCTGGTGGATCTCTGTGAGTTCAAGCCCAGCCTAGTCTACATAGTGAGTTCTAAGCCAGCTGGGACTACCGGGATTTATCTCAAAAAGATAAATAAATAAATAAATTTTAAAAAATAAACATAATTTTAAAAAGCCACGAACAATATGAGCATTGTAGAACACACCTATAATCCTAATAGTAGGCAGCACTGCCCACAATAGGCTGGGCCCTCCCACATCAATCAATAATCAAGAAAATGCCTCAGACATGCCAACAGTTCAATGGAGGAAATTCCTCAGTTGAGGTTCCCTCCACCCAGGTGTGTCAAGTTGACAACCAAAGCTATCCAGCACATCCTCTGACCCCCACATGTACACTATGGCATGTACATGTCTGCATACACACAAAGAAGAAAAATGATTATATTTTCCAAAAATTTAGGGAAAAGAGTGACACTATTGTATGTTAATGTCTGACAGGAGAACCTCAGAAGCTCCTTATCGGCCTCTGCATTCACTGTTTTCAATTCTCTTTGTCAGTAGCCTCTGGTAAACTCCCTTGTTTAATCCCAAGGAAACCTGGAAAGACAACAAATTCTTAGTATCATTATGAACTTAGTTTTGATTTCACAGACCCCTGAGAGGCCTTGAGCAACCCTCAGAGGTCTCTGGACTATCAGTATTTCTGGTGGAGGAGCACTGAGAACCAATTCTTTTGGTTTCTCTTTTTGGTCGGGAGGGACTTGAGCAGGGGGGAAGGTGGGGATCCAACCTTGGAATTTCTACTGGGACCTCAGAAGTCATCCTGTCCCTCCCTGCAGGACATCCTCCTGGAGAATTGGGTGCTCATGGGAAGGAACAGCCAATTCAGTGCCCTCTGCTGAGTCTGTACCAGGCCAGAGGACCCCTGACCTTCCCTGTTGGGGACAGACAAAGAGCCTGTCCTTATACTTGGGCAATGGAGCAAAGCTCCTGGCTCTGGGAGGGCCCCCAGGAGAAGTAGGACTCTATAGAGGAGGCAAACAGAATCCTGCAGCCACTCTTGCAAGAGCCAGCCAGAAGCCACCTTGGGGTGAGATGTAAGGGAAGTGTTAGACATTTTTACAGGGAAGTTGGGCTCTGTGGCGATGTGGTGATGTTTTTGCTTTATCGTGTGTTTTCTCCCACAGAAGGATCTTTTGTTTGTTTGTTGGTTTGTGGGTTTTTGGGATTTTTTTTTTCCTTTTTGTTGGTTTTGTCTTCTTTAAAGGTAGGTATTCAGACCTGGGTTTAAGGACACTTGTGTTTATAGTGAGGAAAGATACATTACACACAAGGACAAGGAGTTGGCAGGAGCATATTGTGACCCACATTTCAGGCAAGGACTGGTGAGCATTGAAGGAGAGCCAGGGCCTGGGAGGGTGGTGGAGATGCCTACCTCTTGGCAGCCAGTGGTGGATGTTAGGCAAGCAGAGGGAGGAGACTGGGACCTTCAGAATTTTGCTGAGACGTGGTAGGGATGGGGGAGTGGGGAAGGGGGGATAGGGGATGAGGGGTGGGAGGTAAGGAGGAAAGGTCATGGCCTCATAGGGTCATGGCTAGGAGGATGCAGGGTTGGTAGGCTCTGAGAGATTTCTCCATGTTACCCCCATTGGGCCACAGAAAGGACCCCATTCCTTTGGGTGCTTTGGTTTCCTGTAGAGAGTGGAGGTGTCCATGTCATTTAGAAAAGCAGAGGGTGTGGAGAGAAGGCCCATATGTGGAGGAGCTTCCTTTACTCCAAGCCTGGCTCTTGAAGAGGGTCTAGGTATGCCAGGGCCTGAGCCAAGCTTCAGTGCCTAAGGACTGGCTAGGGGAGGTGGGAGTCACAGGGAGAGTGCCTCTGAGTGCCAGAGTAGGAAGTCTAGGCACAGCTTCCTGCCCATCAATGGTGACCACATCTCCCAGCATGCCTAGTCCTTCAGTAATTATTACTATGATCTTAAAAGTATCCCAGTTTAGACAGTAAATAACATGGCCATGGAGAACTAGGGTCAAATAGGGTAGCTTTATTAATGGAGTCAGTCATTATCAGAGGGGCCTGGCCAAAGCCAGCATGCCAGGGTTATCCCCTGCCCTCCTCAGTATAGGCA